TAACATATTTCTTTATATAATTTTGATTGTGTCTCATATAAAGTAATATTTATTACATAATTAATATTTATAATAAACAAATAAATTTATTAAAAGATTGATTGCAATATTTATTTAATTGATAAAAAAGTTAAATTTTCCAGATTTTATAGAATTATAATAAAAGAATTAGAAAATTTTAAAAAAACTTCCTCACTGGGAATCGAACCCAGGTCACTAGCGTGACAAGCTAGTATGATGACCACTACACTATGAAGAACTATACGCCATGCGGGAATCGAACCCGCGCCACACGGATGGCAACCGAATATTCTACCACTAGACCAATGACGCTTGTAAAAGTTATGAGTAATTTATAAAATTACAAAAAGAATTTATTAATTTAACCATGAATTTAAAATATTTATTATTTAAATTAAAAAGTATAATTTATAAAATCAATTTTATTCATTCCTTCTAATACATGAATTCAAATAACTTTCAATCTTAAAACAATCAATGAAGTTCATAATTAGATTATCATATTCAAATGCCTTATCTTTAACAAATTTACAAGAACAGAGTACTTTAGATAACTTACTCTTTCCAATACACAAATCACAATGAGATAGATTAAACTCTGTAAATAACTGATTTAATCTCTTACAATTAATAAAATTATTTTCAATCTTATTCATAACATCATCTAAATTATAAAAGTATGAAAATATTTCCTTAGCATCACTTGATTCAATAAACCACTTAAAGGCATTATACAATATCATAAGTACATGTCCATTTAGTCCATCTAATTCAATAAAATTAACTATATCATCTTTAATGGTAACATTAGTTGATTCTGAATCTAAATTCTTATAATAACAATAACCTTTCACTAAATTAACATAAATGTTCTCAAATGATGAACCTGTTAATAACTGATAAAATAACTGGCTACTGTAATACTTAATGAAGTTTTTCTTAAGAGTATAATAAGTTCTATAAAGTGGAGAAATGCTTGTAAATAAACCTTTAATATTACTATCTACTTTCTTATCATAATACTTATAAATAAATACACCTCCAATTAACTTAGGTAAGATTATATCAAGACCTATTTTAGTATTAGTTAGCTCAATACATTTTCTCAGACTACCATCTTTACAATTAACTGACTCCTTTAACTTATTAATGTCATGTAAAATACTTTTAACATTATCATTTTGTGATAATGAATTTACCCGATCTGTTAACATTTCACTTTTCTCTGATAAAGCTGTGTTTATCAATTCTCTCTTCTTAACTATTTTAAAATTCTCAGTATAATCACAGTAATACAAACATCCATCTTTTAATCTAATAACAAACAAGTCATTTTCTAATCGTTCTACTATGCTAAATACCCTCTTAAGATTTGTATAATCATTCCTTAATATATCATACTCACCTGGCAGTACAATTGGTTTATCAAATACCAACTCATTACTATTGTTAAAATCAGAAAATATTTTAAAATATGTTTCTACTAAAAATGGATATTTTTTATGAACTAATTCTGTTACCTTTTTACTTTTAATCAAATTATTAAAGTAGTACATCTTCTCAGCTGATATCTTTAGAATTGCTAATGGATCAATCTTTATCAATTCAAGAACATACATTGTTGATTTATCAATTGGTAAGTCTTCAATTATTTCAATTAATTTTTTACAATAAAGGTGATTTATACTATTTTCTTTATCAATTGATTCAATATTATTACGATATTGTTTTTTCAATTTACTTAAATCTTCATCCTTAAATGAATCAGCTGAATAAAACGGTCTACAAACTTTCAATAATCCTTCACTGTCTAATCCATGTAGTTTAAATATAGAATTAGGTATTGGTATGTTTTCTTTCTCCATCATTTTATAAGCTTTAAATACCCAGAAGTAAAACAACCCTCTATCTGTTTTTTTAAACTTTCCAATATTTATACTACCTACTATTTGTGGTATCAGTTGATACTCACCTGTATTATAACAACACTCTAATTCACTATTAAGCTTCCGCATTTTTTGATTTAATTCTATTGTAGGCAAATTATTTATATCATTAAGAATCAACTGTGCCATTTTATACTCACCGTTATCCATTAAGTATTTAGTATAACTAAACTTATTCTTACAAATTAATCCTAATACTCTCTTCTTATCATTAGCTGATACTATACTTATAATTTTTTCTAATATTAACATTCTCCACTTATTAAAGAATACAAACTCATCTATAGGTGATCTATTATTCCATATTTTAGTTATACTTAATAACATTTCAGCATTTCTACCATCAAACATACTTATACTATCAATCATTTCTCCAACTAATGTTAAATTGAACAAAAGATCGTTGAATATTTTAGACTTTGGCATTTTTATAATACACGAACAGTTATCTATAAACACAGAGAATATGTACTTAAGAAATACCCTCTTGTAATTCACATCATCACTTCCATTTTCCTTATTAAAAACATCATTAAAATATTCAAATATCATTTGATTGACTTTCATAAACTGCCACATAAGTATAGAAGGGTTATGCATTACATAAAAACCTTCTAAACTTTTAAATGTTCTTCTTCCCATATCCTTAATTGGTAAGTCATTAGTATCTAAAATTACATCTGAACTGTTTTTACAAAAGTATATACTCTCATTCCACAGGTCATCATAATATTCAATTGTTCTCCTTATCACAGTATCAGTTTGATCATTACCTTTTCCTAATTCGGTAGTTAAAATAAAATGTAATCTTTTAAAGTAAAACATATCATTTTTCGAGTAACTTACACTTCTCTTAGTAATTTTTTGTAGGGTAGTTCTTAATAAAAAATAAGCAGCTCTATACTCTTTAAGTATCATCAATTTACAAATAAGTTTAAGTTCCCTCACTTTAGAATGTATTTTAACATACCCTAAGAAATATTCAATATCATCATAAGATTCTAAATATTTAAGTTTAAAAGCATCATCAAAGTATTCTGCACAACTATTTCTTATTATAAAATAATTACTAAAATTGATAATATTTAAGTTTCCAATATTAATTTTTGACTCGATGTAAAACGACAACAATGATTGATTATTAAAGTATAATTTCACTAATTCCTCTTTTTGTTCTTCACTTATTAATCCTAATGCCACATCCAGTACATTTTTAAAGATACTAAAAATATCAGATGAATTCTTAATTAACTGTATTACATCAACATTAAATTTAAAATGAAATAAAATAACTGTTATGAATATAAATTGAATGTCTTTAGCATTAATGAAGTTCTTCTTATCCATAACCATGTTACTGATTTCTGAGTTATTTATTCCTAGAATACCATTATTATTATCACTCATGTAATCAATTCTAAATAGGAATTTCAACAACTCAAATAAATCATCACTTCTAGTCTCATCAATATTAATAATCAACTTAATCAAATTTAAATCTCCACTATTAATGATGTTTCTAATGTTAGAAGTAATTAAATTTGGGTAAAGCATCAATAAATGATATAAATTGTTATAATAACATTCCTTAAATAATCTTGAGGCTTTAAAATTACACAATTCAATAGCCAATTCCATATCAACACAGTAGAATAACTTATATAATGCGTTTAAAAGAGGTGGATATCCTAGTTTGTAATTTAATACAATATTACATACCTCATTTGGAAATAACTTAATGATCAAATTAAATATAAAATTAAATCTAATTGGATTAGGATAGTTAGAAGTGATTATTCTATTAAATAGATCTAATATTTTATCTTTCAACGATGTATTATCATCCCTAGTAAGTAGTATCTCAAGTGCAGTAATCATATTGGCAAAGTTAAGAGTGTTTTTACTTATCAACTCAATATCATTATCAATAATCATCTTATTGATATTTTTATTAAATTCTAGAGTATCATTGTATTTGATGAATATTTCTCTAATTATAGAATAATCTAATTGATAGTAATAACAATTAAATAAACTCCATAATCTATTGTTAATGATAAAGTTATTGTTGTTAAGAGTGTTTAGAATAAACAATAGGTTTATCTTACTCTCATCCTTAAAATTAATATCAAAGTCTGTATTAGATAATATGTTATTGATCACAAGTAAACTATCAACATAAGAACTTGGCCCTATATTACTTCTTAAATAATTA